TATCATAGTGAAGAGGCTGTTACATGCACCGATGCGGGAGTAGAGTAGGTTTTATATTTATATTTCTATCAATGAAGCTTATGAGCCGGTCACCTTCTTGCAACCTTGCGTAATATTATTAGTACTCGGTCCGGACAACACAGGTAACATTCAGCTAATTTATCAGTTTCACATCAACATCAAAGATCAGAGGTTTATATTACTTATAGTATTTATGCCTATATTTCTAATGGGCATCGCTTTAGACAGGACTTTAATAGCTGACAGAATAATACCTCGAATCGGATCCCTTCTTAACTCTGAAATCTAAAATAAATTTCAGAGAACACTTCAGCGGTGGAAGCTTACCCATGCCAAGGCCGTAATCGCGAAAGGTACCATCGTAGGGCTTGCTTACAGGCCATCAAACCGTAATCGACATACGTTCTGCTCCATTTTTTTTAGTAGTAACTATTATTAATACGTCGTACATGTTTTAGATTTGCCTCATCCCCCGTGAATCGCGTGTAAGTATCCTCGATTTGAAGGCGCTCGCTCTCTAGCCATTCTACGAGATTCTCTCTGGTGATCTCCTAGCGTACAAGCCACAAAAGGATTTCTACTTCCCAATGCGTCGCTATCCCATCGCGTCTGCCGTTGTCCTCATCGCATACGTAATGGTGGCTGTCACTTCAAATGTGACGGCACATGAACTAGCGGTCACCGCTAACCACTGGGAAGTTGCAACAAAGGAGACCAACGGAGCAGCAAGGGATGAGAGAACTACCGTTGGAGGTCTGGTCCAGGCAGGTAAATCTAGGGTCAATGATCTTATCACATCCGCAAAGCTGCAGAAATACAAGTTCCTGGTGAGAAACTTGCCGCTCGGTGACGACTTTCTAGCTTCATTAAAGAGCTCGAAGTTCAAGAAACTGAATAAGTTTGTTGCAAAATTCAATCGCGATAAGGATCTAAAGAGCCAAATCTCGTTGGTTACACCACTAACGGCGAAGTACGGAGACGACGTCGTGGCAAAGACACTCATAGAATTGGAGAAAAGAGAGTTTATGACCCCCGAGCTGGCGAAGTTGGTGAAGCAATTACGGGGTGAACAACTGACAGATTGGCTGAGGAATGGCAATTCTATTGACGATGTGTTCAGTCTGCTCAAGTTGAGCGACGACGGATACGAAGCCTTTCGCAACGGGAAACTCCAGGTGTTAGAGGACTTCATTACGCTGCACAACCGCGAGAAATCTGTTGATGAAGCGTTGCTGAAGGCCATGATAACAGGCTTCGATGGCGAGAGCAACTTGGTGTCGCTTCTAGCAAAAGCAGAGGCAAATCCGTTAACGAAGGCCAAGGCCACGGAGCTCGAGACTGCTCTTCTTACTAAGTGGCGCAACGATAACATGCCGCCGCTAAGCGTCTGGTCGCGGTTAAAATTTACTGATGATCTGGACGAAGTTCTGAGTAGTGGAAAACTAAACATGTTCTTTAAGTATATGTCCGAGAATTACCCAAACAGTGAGAGATCTGTGCTGGAGAGACTCACCGCAAAATACGGAGAAGGTTCTGTGGCACAGGCACTCGCTACTGCCAAGGAAAGCGAGATCACGCGTGAAGTCGCGACGAAGCTGCAGAATCAGCAAATAGAGGTTTGGCTGCTGAGCCAAAAATCAACTGGCGATGTCTTCAAGTTGTTGAACGTCAAAAGCGATGATGTCTTTACCCAGGGTACGAAGTTGGGCACTTTATCCGAGTACATTAGTGTATTGAACATAAAACGTCGCCATGGCGAGAAGACAAGTTTGTTCGCGGTGGTACGAGAAGGCTTTGGTGGCGATGGAGACCTTGCACGAGTGGTCTTTAGGGTATTGCAGGAGCCAAACTCGTTTTCAGTTCTGAATACTGCCTACGCATACCGAAAGATGCTATTTAAGCGATGGATGAAGGAAGCCAAACTCGACCCGAACAATGCTTTCGAATGGCTTTTCAATGTCAAGGAGACTGCTGCTGGCCCTTTGGAAACGAGGATAGTAGCCCGATACACGACGTACTACAACAATAAGCAGGGAATCGGTCCGCTTTACACTTTCAAGGATCCCAGACGATTTTAGCTCGATCAACTTCATGAATTCTGAAGTTGCAATTCTGAATAAAGTTGATTAAGCGTTGTGTTTGAATATAAGTAGGCATGTATATAGACTCGATCGTTCTGTAGCGAATATTTATTTTACTCGATAGATCGATACGAAAATACATCAACATAATCTCATAATTCTCACCACGAATAAATGAGACCAGTCCCAGAGCTCCACCTATGTCAGAGATCACATCTACTGCTACAGCGACCAACAGAAGGAGCGAGTTAACGACGGCTAAGTCGCACGAATACACGATATGTCTGCTAGGTGACTGGGCACCTACGGCGCCCACGAAGATGAAACCTCCGTCTCAAGCTGTACACGAAGTAACAGCAGATCTCGAGTCTCCGATTGTTCAGGTTAGTTGCGGTTCAGGTTGGAATTGTCTGCTCTGTGAAGATGGACGAGCATATTCTTTCGGGGACAATACCTACGGGCAGCTCGGACAGAGTCACGATCGACCATACGTCGCTGTACCAGAGCCAATGTCCACTCCATTCTGCTTGCAACCACGACGACGCATTATTCGCTTGTCATGTGGGAGTGTCCATGGGGGATTTGTGCTGGATGTTGGTGAGCTATACATGTTTGGCTGTGGATCTTACGGGCGTTTGGGTACGGGCAACGAAGCAAATGCGTGTTTACCAACACTGGTATCGATGAAATGGTCGACGCTTCTAGCTGTAAACACAGCTCGTAAGCAACAGAACAGCTCGATGACGGATGGAGACGAAGACGAGGCGAGATTCAAAGACATTAGCTGTGGTGATCGGCACACTTTGACCCTCGCAGTTCGGATAACGCGCGCAAATTCTGATTGCTGGAGCAATGCTACAAAGTCCAAGACGAGTATTATCTCATTTGGAGATGGATTGAATGGACGACTCGGCATAGGAGACGAGAAGGATCGATACGAAGGAACATTGCTCACTACTTGGATTGCTGCGTCGAGTGTCCCAGGGGTTGGTATAACCGGAAACAACGGTTGTATGGCTCCTCCCATGATCTCTGCTATCTGCGCTGGTAGTACACACAACCTAGCACTCTCGGCTGGTGGAGATGTCTTCTCGTGGGGGAATGGTGTCGATGGACAGTTAGGTCACGGATCTGCAGTGAGTGAGTGGGTACCTCGACAACTCGAATATTTCAAGGATATATCAATAACAGACATTAGTTGTGGGGCTTCGCATTCAATGGCCATCTCGCAAACTGGTGTAGTGTATACGTGGGGGCGAGGTACTGAAGGTCAACTCGGAATCGACTTGGAAGATGATTCAACTGCTGATTTCGTTGATAAAACTGTGTGTTTACCGCACCCGGTAGCAATATTAAAGGGCTCTACTCATCGAGTCACTGTCCGTACTATTGTAGCAAAGCACAACATGTCGTTGGCACTTGATGACAGAGACCGGATGTTCGTGTGGGGTGAGAATGACCTTACACAGCTTGGAGTTCTATTATCGTTAAATACTGAAGTCGGTACGAGAGCGGTTGTACCCAGACCGAAAATGCTGTCGTATATGGATCTCCGTTCTCCGAAATCGGCGACGTATAACGCACCAACTTCAGCGTCGCTTGTTTCAAGTTTGCGTGATCTTGTGGCAGCCGCAAAACCTGATCCGATTCGTTTAGGACTGACTCATGTAGATGCTGGAGATCGATTCACAATGCTAGTTTTTAAGACCAAACCAGGAATCGGCTGTACTAGTAACACTATTGGTGATGAAATCAGCGAGACACTGGGTTCTAAGATTTATCCAGACACCAAGACGACTGTAGTTAAGTGGAATTTCTCGCTGACAGATGATTTAGATTTTCCATCCCGGGAGTCTGCTTACTACCAGTTCATGGTGAACTACAAAGTTTACCTGCGTCCAGCGGTTCCTAGAAGACGGGGAGATGCTGAAGAAATCGAGGAGGAAATGGATCGGAATCGAAACATGCAGCGACGATCTCCTTACCGCCGCGGTCGCATAGGATCCACCATCAGCAAGAGAGGAAGTCTACCAACGGTGGATCCGGAAAGTCGATTCAAAACGACGAACGACGATCATTCTGACAATACTGGAGTATACAGTTCTCAAGCGCACGGATTTAATTCGTCCCTAGAAAAGGACTTAATATCACCTTCGAGCATCACAATGGTGAATCGTTTCTTTGCTCCGCCAACTTCATCAAAAAAAGAAGAGGTTAGATATGCTAGCTGCAGCAGTACAACCAGAATCAATGACACACCAAGCATTCCGGTGAAGCCTCAACAGCCTAGAAGTGGTATGTGTCGAGAACGTTCCATTCGAAGACCCACCGTATCCATCGGACCAGCATCTTTTCCACCTGTGAATAACCAGGATAAGTTATGAAACGTGATGTCACCTCACGAGGCCTATTGAACGAATAAAATGGATTATTTTTTTGAGGTGAGGCGTCACCTCACGAGGCCTATTGAACGAATAAATGAATTATTTTTTTAAGGATAGGATATTACCAGGTTGTACAAGATAAGCATTATCGTTGCCTGAGTGTATTCGGCGTTAATCTACATTTTTTAAACTACGTAACGTACCACCAAGAACGACTCAGCCTTCTTTTTTTTTTACCGTGTTTTCCCGTTTAATCCGTCCGTTAATAGCGAGTTCTTACAGTAAATGCGTATCAATTCATGAAATGGCACAAGTTCCTCGTTATAGTTCTGTTCTGTTTAGAAAGCAATTTACCATTATTGTTGCGTTGTCAGCGAAAGACTGAATGAGGGAAAGATTTGAGGCCTTTAGGCCATAACCGCGACAGTGTAAATCGTCATCTTGTATTTCAGAGCAGAGAAAAGTTTACAAGTCTCTAAATCGTACTTCGAAGTAATCGACACTGTCGGGAATCTGTTTAGATGGAAAGCCAGTCATAAAAAAAATCGATGCTCCAGACCAGAATGCGCGGCACTTGTGCACTGGTCAAAATCGTGAGAGATGGCAATCAGCTTCACCGGGGCTGCCCTGGTCGACAACACTAATGGACTCAATTACGACAGTGCCGCCTCAAGTATTAAGGCTCGCCACCCAAGGAGTGAAACGAGGATGGTTGTACCACCGATTATCGCGTCTTATTATCTGATGTGTAAAAGTTCGAAGCACTCATCGCAGATTCGACATACCGTGGACAGTCACGACCCTCCCGGGTGGGCGATCTCTTTCGCTCCTCTGCTTTATAATGGCCTCTTGTCTGGCGCCAGCTTTGCTTTGGTCAAGACATTAAGAATTCTACCAATAAGTCGGACACCGAATCGGTATGAATATGTAATGAATATCCGTTTTTAGTGCTACACAAGAGGATGTATTGCTAACTTCTCGAGCTAATTTCTGGGGAAAGTCATGTTTTCGTTGGCATGTCGTGCAGTGGAAAATCGTCTTTAACCGTACGGCTATATATTGATTGCACTGAGTGATATATGAAGCTATATCAGAAGCAGAGGTATGAGTGGCCGACGAATTTGGTTTAGAGTGGTAGTTTACACAAATAGCATCTAATATCACCTAAAAATCATAAATAGTCAGGCCACATGAATTTGAGTGAAGTGTCTGCGCAAAACCCTCCATTGCTGATACAAATGCTAAGTTCGCCAAGATAACTATTAGTTCTTAACACTTCCATGAAATAGGAAACTGTTTTCACTCTACCGCTGGTATAGGCGTCGGTTTGTCTCAGTCTTGTCCTAATAAACAATTCTCGTCGCAGTTCGATGCATAGCTAGGGGTCTAGGTCCACCGACACTAGGACCGTTTGATTTGGCTACGTCTACGTTAGCTCGCACGCTCTCGCGTTGGTTAACCTCACTATATCAGGTTCTAGGTAGTTAGCACTGGTTTCTTTCCCTAATATAACTGAGTAGATTGAGTTTTAACCACTTAGTATTCTCCCTTTTTTGTGATCGGGCGGTTGAAGTGATCCGTCTGACATTAAGATACGATGAGATTTCAGGACTGAGAACAAGAAATGAAAGGAAACGGCAAGTATTTTCTCGTCCAGTTATTGAATCGAGTTCTGCTCGCTGAATGATGATCTATTGATCTGTTGAGCTTTACCAACTGGATTTTTTTCTCATGGGATTGACGCTGATTACGATAATAAATAAACTAATCCAATCCTTGGGATTATGTGCTATGAAGGCCGAATCATTTTATAAAGCTGTGCTACATCTCTCCCCTCACTTTTGATTCTCGACAATTCCTCAGTACTGTTAACCGTCTTGCTTGAGCGATGAATCTCGTAGCTGTCCTGCTCCTGTGTTTCGGACTAATCACATCTGCGTGTGCCGGCACTATTGACCATGATAAAGTCCAGCCATTCGCTCAGCCCGTCCCAGTCACGATTGCCGAAAAGGCTGCTGTCATGTTTAAACCACAACTTCACATTTCTCAAGGGTGCGTTTCATTCCCAGCCGTAAATGCTGCAGGTGAGATTAGCGGGGGTGTCAAGGGAACGAAAAACACGGAGGGCTGCACGGAAGCCCCTCTGGGTTCTCAAGTGTACGGCCGCGCAAAGTGGTACCAGGATAAATGGGCGATGGTCTTTGCGTGGTACTTTCCAAAAAGCTTTTGGAGTTTCGAAGCTGTTGACCGCCACTACTGGGCGAGTATGGTATTATGGCTTGACAACCCAGCACTGAGTGCACCGAAGATTATTGGTGCCTCGCTGCAACAACAGCTTCTGAAAAAGAGAGGTTTTCTTGGGTTTATGTTTACCGAACCGAGAGAACCATACTTCAAGCAAACAAGCATTGATATCATGTCCTATGTGGGCGCGCAGCGGATTCGTTTAAACCCAATCGGTTATCGACGTTGGAGCTACAACTTTACCCCAGGGTCCAACGTATCGACTAGGGTTACCCACACATATTGGAATAGCTTTGAGTATCTGGCATTACATTTTTCTGAAACGGACGGTCAGTTTCAAGACCTCATCATGTGGGAACAACTTACGGACGAAGCACGCTCTGCTCTCAATTCTGCGGATTTTGGCGAGTCGAAGGTCCCCTTTAACGATGAGAACATTGAGGAGACACTAGAACTGGCTTGGCCATTTTAGGTCTTTCCTCAGCTCTGCTACACTGGGTACGTGCAAACCAATGACCGCAAGGATGGACATTGATTATAACCATTTCGTATGGTGTTCTAGTCGCTAGTACACTTTTCGCTATCCAAAATTAAATGTTTAGTTTTTCATAATCAGATTGATTGCCACCGGTCCAGCCATTTAAATTTGCTCTCAACGTTTTCTTCGTCACCGCGAAGCTATGCAATCCATCAAAGTTGCAATCACCACGACTGTTCTTCTCCTTATCAGTAGGAATCTCATCTCGGCGGCCGAACCTTTCAGAACCTTTCAACAATCACAACTGATCAGAGGCGCTCTCTACGGTCTGACAGCTCCGCACCAGTCAATAACGAAAGTTCGACGGAAAGAAGCGCGTTGCAGTGGGTAAAAGTGCGAATTTGGTTGGAGTTTGGGGCGTCTGATAAGTATGTCAAGAAGGCTCTGAAGCTGCGTGGGTTGGATGATGCAGCACTCAAGGTCCAGGCAAACTACAGATACTATGACTACTTTACCAAAAAGGCCCTAGAATATCGTCTTTACAAGCAGCTCCAAAGGGACGTGCCCACGTTTGCTATCTGGAAGGAGCTTAGATTTCGTGATATTACTAAAGCCGTTCAGTTGCAGTCGATCGTGAACACCATGGAGTTCAAGTTCTACGAGCGCTACGTGCAAGCTTTCCACAAGAGGGTAAAGGCAGATTACAACGCAATGCGTGATCCCACCGGCGTGATTGTCGCCCGAGGGGCCACTGAAGCGGAGATGACGGCGAGAACTCTCATTTTGGTTAACTCACGAATGGACGAAGCATATGCACAAGCTTTGCTGGTATGACTAAACCTAGTAGACCGGGAATGCTATTGAAAGGAAAGCAGCTTGAGGACCATGTGGACTACGAGTACTTGCAACTCTTCCAGAAGGCGAAAAAAGAACTGAACGGAAAGCAACTGAGGTGGAAAGATGTTGGAGACTTCATCGAAAAGATGTGGCCCTCGCCTTAGTATATCAATGGACAATAGTCCCAGGGCTACCACAAGGACTATTTCTTGTTCCTTTTGAGTTGGTGGCTCTTATACCTAGTGAATGCAATCTTGTCTCGATACATAAAGGGCGATGTTTCTTGCTTCAGTGAATCAGCCGTCATCTTCATCACTCGCTGTGCAAAGATCAACGGATCTTCACCTTGTTCAGCCTTAGTACATGGCAGAAATTGTACTGCGTACGTGTGCCACGGTACGAACAGGTACCACAACACGTTGGCCAGGAACGTGCTCGTCTCGTCGTTGATATTCACCGGCTACATAGAACAACAAAAGAATTAAAATATGTGTGTAAAATAAATCAAAGCTTCTTACAAAAGGCCCGTCCGATGCCTGGATAGCAAGTGGCTGCACAGTCTTGTCAAGAGAGAAGAGGAATTTGTGATACTGCAGCAAACCCTTTCTTCCATTGGTAAGACCACCCTGAATAAAAACAAAACAAAACCCCGTCAGCTCCAAATTTCTCAACCTTAAAAAAAAAACATCCACGCACACCACACCTCTGGAAAAGCAGCAAGCGGCTTGTTGCCTCTAGCTAGTCGCTCAACAACAATCTGTCGTACAGCATCCCGACCAGCACCATTGCCCTGTTGTCTTGAAGCGTACGGCACATATACCAGTCCAGCTTTATCTCCCAGCAACTTGAAGAATAGCATGTTTTTGTAGAAATCGTAGCCTAAAATGTAGGCCGGCGTGATGCTCAACATAGCGATTGCATCGAACTCGCTAATGTGGTTGGAAACAATGATATCAGCTCGTTTTTCACCCTTTTCAAAGAGATGTTCGTCCACGAGACGCACTCGCGTGCCCGTTAGCCACACGAAGAGTTTAGCGACATGGAATCGATCCATTTGCATTTCCGAGAAGACCCGAGGCACGATAAGGGCCACTAAGAAGCAGCAGATGCCCCGGATAAGCAGCAAAACTAGTCCGAACGGCGTATACAGCAACAGGAGCAAGTGGCCGACAGATAGCGGACGCTTGATGCGCTCGAACTGGAACATACTCTCGAACGGGAGCAACTGCTGCTCCGTGGACGGATCCAGTGCGACGTGCTCTTTGCCGTCGCCCAGCAGTTCTAAACCACGTCGTATTTCATGATAAGAGGGCGTAGGTGACTGAGACTCCAGGTCTAGGAACGGAGCGATCGGTGACCCCACGACGGACGAAGCCATGATGCTTTCGGTGTTGCAGGGACGTTGCAAGTGGCAGAAGCAGGAATGACGAGGGCAAGTCCACTGACACGTGGGCCCGTGGGACGATCAGGTGCGGCATAAGACTCCTATGCCGCACCTGGTCGCCTCATCTCTCGATGTTTTCTTTCACGTCGATCTGTCCAACCTGGAATGCGGTTCATATTGCAATCAATTTATTGTTATTTACCTCCACGAGAACTATGCGCGAGAATTCTTATGACATAAGAGACATTGACTCCTTCCTTGAAGCAGTATACACAATGTATACATTTGACTATACACCCTCAATTCCATTTGGCCTTGCTCAAGTCGAGCAGCATTCATTGCTCAATCAGTATGATTCCTCGCTGCGTGTTGCGCGTTCCCAGAAGCCGAACGCTCAGTACCACCGCCTCGTCCAAGTCGGCTCGTGCCTGCGTAGTGCACAGCAATCCCAAGGAAGGAGAAGAGAAGGCCGATCACTCGGTCTCCAATCACTTTGCGCTGCAGCGACCACAGCTTGAGTTCTGTTGTCTGCTGAGCGGTTGGGATGTAGCGTGCAAGACCTGCCCCTTCAACTGGTACGATTTTGACCCACGTAAATTCCGTACGAAGAGTCGAAGACGACGCGTAGACGGCGACGACCTAAGCAACCTCGCAGCCAGCGAGGCGGACATCCGTCAGGCCTTGGAGGCTCTGGGCATTGACACAACCCCCACCGACGGATTTGACAGGAAATCGTTCACGCAGCAGCAGGTCAAGGACGCATTTCGAGCCAAAGCGCTCGAGTGGCACCCGGACTGCAATCCAGACCCAGAAGCCGAGAACATCTTCAAGGAGATCCTGCTGGCTTACGAACTGTTATTAACTCATGCACAATGAAGAGGAGAATTTTCTTGCGCAAAAAAATATAAATAAAGACGCAAGTTGCCGTTTGGTATTCTACTAGCCAACCTCTTTATACTGTTAACCTAGCATAACTATTTCGAACTATCTAGGTAGCTGGACGGCTTAGTTTGATTCTAATACCTGATAATACAAAATAATAAAGTCAATCTCGTCTCTTACGATCGTATTTAATGGAATTCTTGGCGCGCGCGGCAAAAACCTCAGTTGGCAACTTTCTCTTGTGGCAGGCAACATGTTCTACTCGCAGATCGTCTTGGCCAAGAAGGGCCCTTTGGGTAAGATCTGGCTGGCTGCCCACTGGGACAAGAAGCTCAACAAGCAGCAGATCTTCACCGCCGACATCCACAGCTCCGTGCAGAGCATCCTGAACCCGCAGGTGCCGCTCGCTCTGCGCGTCTCGGGCCATTTACTGCTTGGCGTCGTGCGTATCTACTCGCGTAAGGTGAAATATCTGTACACGGACTGCAGCGAGGCGCTGGTCAAGATCAAACTCGCTTTCCGTCCTGGAATTGTGGATCTACCCGCCAACAACCAACAAGCGGCGTCACACACCATCAACGTCTCGAATTTCGGCGAGTTCGAGGCCGAAGTCACATATTCCATCGAGTACGTTAAGTATTCTAAAATAGGCGTGATATTTCTGACTTAAGGTATTCACTAACCTCTATTATTCCTTGCGTAGTGCTATTACTGCGCCGTCGTTAGACGAATGGATCGCCGCATCCAGCCAGACTGTAGCAAGACGCCAGGATATTACACTAGCGGATCCACTAGTCAGGACTCGAGAGGCAAACGGCTTTGCTGAAAGAGGTAAGATATTCTTCGTTGAAGGTCATTTTTTTTACTAATATATTTTTTTAGATGTTATTGCTATGGAGGATTCTTTCGGAGGAGAAGGAGACTGGCAGGCGTTCGACTTGGACGACAATTTTGGTAGCTCTGGACTGGATATTAGCACCGTCAGTGACGTTGAAATAGCGCGAGAGGCTGATGCGCCGATGGTGCCACTGGACGACTCGGGCATTCTCAATGCTGGAGATAAATTGACAGACAGGAGCTCGCTGATGGCCGAAGCAGAGCAGCCGGAGTTTGGCTACAATGACGCGCCGTTCGAGATTCCGGTAGACAACGCAATGGAGATTGAGAACCCTATCGACGATCCCATGGACGTTAGTGGGGGCACACTGGATGTTAGCGCGGATATTAATGTCAGTATCAACGGCTCGACACGTGCGTCGTTGGATGCAGCTCTGGTTAACGTGGAAGTGGAGACGAACAGACCCAAAAAGAAGAGGAAAATTGCTCGTGATACCGTCACGGAGCTCACCTCAGCATATCTGAAACAGGGAATGGAGGACACGTCCGACATCACCCGCACGCGAGAAATCACGTACAAAAAACCTGCAACCCGCAGTGAATTTGACCTGCAGACTGGAGCTGACATGTTCTCCAGACCCTGCATGATCACCATGTCTGAAGAGCTACTGAGTATGTTCAAGGTCACGATGAAGAAGAGGAAGTTCCCGTTCGGTTCCAAGACCAGAGAGGCCACCCAAGAGGAGGATGTTGAGCTCACTCGACGTATGAGTGCGAACTCGCGTATGAGCACCAACTCGGTACGTTGTGTTAGTCGATGGTGACACATTTCAGGAATTTAACTATTTTTTTATGCTCAGAATGGTCTGGATGTGACAAATGGATCTTGCGACGCCTCTATGCTGCATGATATCGAGGAAGAAAACCACTTTGAGTTTGCCGACATGGGCCCAACGGAACCGTAAGTACAAATACTGTAATTCTTTGTATTTTATATTAAACTAACAGAATTGTGATTTTAGTGAACGTATGGATGATGGTTTCCCGAACTACGATATCGGAGCTCCATTCGAGCCTGAAGAGCAGAATTTGGAGGACTTAAACGTGGACATCGAGCTCGGCGCCGTGAATGACATTCGAAGCGATGCGAATGGTACTACCGAGCTTGATCAACCCGAGGCGTCGACAGCTCAACACAAGTGGCACCCGCACACTGTGAAAGTGATGAAAGTGCTGCGCAAGTCACTCAACGACAAGGAGGAGGTCACATACAAGCAACTGACCAAGAAGACGCAAGACCGACGAACAGCAGCCGCGCTGTTCTTCGAGCTGTTGCAGCTGAAAACACTCGATTATGTGGACGTGGAGCAGCCTGCGCCATACGCAGACATCAAGATCTCCAAGGCAGCCCGTTTTTCGGAGCACATCCCGGCGGTGGATCGCGAATCTACCCGAGAAAACCGTGACGATTTTTGATGCGTATTTACCACAACAGTGACTTATGAACCGGTCGTTTTGTGCTTCCAGGTTTTATTTTCGTGGGAGTTTTGCCGCTATTTTTTGCTCAACGTGTAGGCTCGCATGGTAGTTGGAGACTCCTGTAACATTCTTCATCTAGTAGCATACAGGATGCACAGCTCGCCCGAGTTTCGGTCACTTAAGGCCAAGATCCGCATGCTGTGTAAGCAGCGTCGCATCCGGTTGGAAGAGTTCATGAAGACGTTCGACATCCATCGAGTCAAGAAGATCAAGACGGAGCAGTTCAAGCGCGCCCTTGACGTCAGTGGGCTTCACTTATCTGCTACTGAGATTAGTCTCCTACTCGCGAAGTATCGCATCGCAGATGACCCGTCTTTCGTGGACTATCGACGCTTCTGCGACCTGATGGACAAGGTGTTTACAGTCAAAGGACTCGAAGCCAAGCCCAAGTTCCAGTCGATTCCTCATGGCGACTTTGAGCCACTCAAGACATTCGCGTTTGAACCGTTAACACCCACGGAAGAAGCCACACTTGCAGTCGTGAAGCAGAAGCTCTTAGCAGCAGTGATGAACAAAGGGATCGTGCTTAAGGACGTCTTCCACGACTTTGATCGAAGCAACGCCGGCAAAGTGACTCGACCGCAATTCGTTAGGGATATTTCGGACATCGTGGTGCTCTCTTCGGACGAGATGGATGTGCTGTTGAAGGCGTATGGAGACAAGCTGGATGTGCATTACCGTGCTCTTCACTTCGACATTTGCCCGGGTGCGTCGGGTGCTGGAACCAAGGCAGCTCAGCCGCGATCACCGGAACGACGACACTTGGCAGCGCCGTCAGGTATACACCACTCGGATGTCGTCCAGGAACTTGAAGCAGAGTTGTCCGATCTGGTTTTGAGAGATCGTATACGTACCAAAAACTTCTTCACGGACTTTGATCCGCTACGTACAGGCAAGTGCACCGAGGCTCAATTCCGACGTTGCGTCAAGCTGTGCTTCCCTATTGTGAGTGACAGCGACTTGGCGTTGCTAGTGCAGAAATACGGGACCACCAAGTCCTTAGACACGACCAAAGTGGACTATATCCGCTTCTGCAACGCCGTTGACGGCAAAGAACCTCAAAATAACAATTACGACGACATTTTAACGACAATTTCCAGCACCACAACGCACTCAAAAATCGACAAATGTTCGCGTGTCATGCGTGGCTGTTTGACCGATAACGATTCAGAAGTTCTTCAGAAGATGATGCAACGTCTTCACAATTATTGCTCTACACGCCGAATGTTGCTAAAACCAACATTCCAAGACTTTGATAAAGGCAGACGTGAACATATCACGGTTGACCAGTTTTTCCGTGTCATGGCCATGTTTAAACTGACGTTGCATGGGGAGAGTGAAAAGCGAGCGTTGTTGCAACGTTACTCGAGCTCTCATGGCGAACGGTTCGTTAACTACGTCACTTTTTGCTACGATCTTGAGAACTGGGGGAGTGATAACCAACGCTCGAACAATCGTCCGTCTTCACGAGGAGTTGTGTCTGAAATCATTGCACCTTCGAAGCTCCGTACTGACAAATTTGAAGACACTGCAACGGAGACGCACGTACGTTCGTTTCCGATGCTAATTCGCTACATCAAGCAGACAATCAAGCGCGATCGCATTCGTCTTGAAGAATATTATCGAGACTTTGATAAATTACGTCACGGGAAGATCACATTTGCACAGTTTTGTGCAGGATTAGATGCTGCAGGTTTCCTTTTATCTCGTGAAGAGATGGCATTGCTAGGTGGGGAATATGCGTGTAAAGAGGTCGATAGTATGGGCAAACACTGGATCGCATGGAAGACGTTCGTGGATGACGTGGAGAGCGTCTTTACTGTGAAAGGATTGGAGAAAAACCCACATCATGATCTGAAAACTTTAGAGACTCGGGAAGGACAATTTGGTGGCGTCGTGATCGATAAAGATCTCACTCCAGCCGAAGAAGAAGAGGTGAAGCACATTATGCTGACTATGAAGCGCGCTATCGACCGCCAGCGCATGGAGATCAAACCTACGTTTGAGGATTTTGATCGCTCTAAGCAAGGTTTCATCTCGGCGACGAAATTTGAGCGTGTACTGTCAATGTTGACTTTGTTGCCGGCAAAAGCGTCAGATTTGCGCCTTTTGCTTATAAAGTTTCGGGAGCAAGCGGCAATTGGCACGACGGCAACGCTGAGTTCCATTTGCGATGTCAACTACCGCGCTTTCCTTCAAGCGCTTCAGATACTTGGAGCGTCCACGAAGAATGCCAGTAGTGAAAGTATTCGGAGTTTAGTTCTGCCTGGGAGTGTTGCCTTCCGACAGGAACAATATCAGAGTGGCATTATGAACGATTTTTACAAGCGCAAAGCTCGTGACAATCACTCTGGGGCAGCCGATTTATCGCAACTTTTGGCGGAGTTGCGTCGTCAGCTAAGTACCAAGCGCATTCGCTTGAAAGAATTCATCGTTGAAGGCGACAAACTGCGGTCGGGAGAGATCACAGTGGCAAAGTTTCACACTGCACTCAACCGCAGTGGTTGTGTACTAGATGCAGACGACATCCAAACGTTGAGTACGCACTTCCGCTCAGCTCGAAACCCTGACAAGATCGACTGGAGAAGCTTCCTGGGGGCTCTGGACTTCTCGCACGGTATGAATACATGGCAACAAGGAGACGTGGACGACTCTATCAAGCGTATTCTCGAGAAACTTCGCAATGAAGTGAACCATCGCCGTTTGCACATGAAGCCATATTTCCAGGACTACGACCACAACAATGTCACTCACATTACCAAGTTCCAATTCGCTGCTGTGCTTGACATGATGCAAGTGTCCTTGAAGCCCGCAGAGGTCCAGGCACTCACGCACTGCTTCGCACACCGAGATGGCCGCAAACTTACCAACGACGTCAACTATCTCTCCTTCATCCAGGCCGTCGACTCGGACTACTCTTAAAATTTGCATCTTTTCGTGCATTTTCACGTTTCAGTTTTCACCGACCATCACTCTTAATCGTTAAGCAAAAAAAAACAAGAATTATTAACAAGCGCGCCTGTCGGAAGGGCGTATTTCTAAGTCCTCTCGGCCTCATAAAGCAAAAGTTTCTATCCCTCGTCCTTTGGTTGACTCGGCCGAGCACACGCCGTTGCGAACATTCAAGGTGCAGCACGACTCGTCTTCGGTCTTGTTTTTATCTCCTGTGGATGAGCGACATGAACTCGCTCCTGGTGCGTGGGTCGCTCTTGAACACGCCGAGTACGGAGCTCGTGACGGTGCTGGCTCCGCTCTTCTCCACGCCGCGCATGACCATACACATGTGTGTGGCCTCAATGACCACAGCCACGCCCTTGGGTTCAATGACGCCCATAATGGCATTAGCGATCTGCTTTGTCAGTCGCTCCTGCACCTGCAGACGACGCGAGAAGACCTCGCTGACTCGCGCCAGCTTGCTGAGTCCCAATACTTTGCCATTGGGGATGTACCCGATGTGCACTTTGCCCGTGAACGGCACCATGTGGTGCTCGCACATGGAGTAGAGGTCGATATCACGCACAATGACCATCTCGTCGTGGTCCTCTTCGAACACAGCCTCGTTCAATACGTCGGTTAGGCTCTGGCCGTAGCCCTTGGTGTTGTACAATAAGGCCTTGGCCATGCGCATAGGCGTCTTGACGAGCCCTTCGCGTTGTGGGTCTTCTCCGATACATTCGAGAAGAGTGGTGACGGCTGCTGCCATCTTTTCGAGCTTTTCCTTGTCCTCGACGTAGTCGTTGGGTGACCGCGAGGGCAACGTCATGGACAGCTGCTCCAGTCGCTCCTCTTTGGTGTTCTGCATACCTTGGGATTTAGCGGCGCTGGCGTGCACTAGGAATGCGTCGGTGGGGTGCAGGTCGGTCTCGGCAGTGCTAAGAGTGGTCGTGATGGGAGCCATGGGCAATGGCCAGGAGCTCTTCGCGTACTGAGTCACTTTTTGCGAATGACCGGCGGGCAGACGAGCTGCCGTGATTGGGCATGGCGCTATGCGGAGTATGATTGGAGGATATTAGTATCTTAGAGCACCGTATGATTGGAGGATTTGTATTTTGCCCAATCAAAGGGACTGATTGTTATACCGCTGTTAAATGAAGTTTGGAAGACGGAGTGATTGGACGAAAAGGGACTGATGCGACGCCGGGGTGGCGGCGTCGATGCAGGCGGGAGGAAGCGTGTGGGAGAACACCATGACGGCAGCTTCGGCGTGTACATGTCGCACAAGGTCCAGAAGCTCCGCAGCCAGAACGAGAGCTTCACTGCGGCGGCGTCGCCTGATCGCGCGTCAAGTGGCAATAATGCAGGCATCTTCCAGGGTATACATGTATATGTCGATGGGTATACGGTACCGAGCAAGGAGGATATCCGGCAGCTTATGTTGCTGTATGGCGGCGGCTTTGAACATTACGAAACTGGGCGAGTGACGCACATTGTCGCAACTCATCTTCCAGCGTCTAAACTGCTGCAACTTAAGTACGTTCAAGTTGAAGTGGATAACACTACGGCAACATTACTCATTGCTGTACCTGCAGGAAGGCAAGGAAGCCGCTTCCTGTCGTACACCCCGAATGGATCGTACAGAGCATCGAGCAACATAAATTACTTCCCGTACAATCATTCCTGTACGCAGGGTTCACTGACCCCACACAAAACAACATCTTCAGTTTATCCGGATCGTACAATTTTGCGCAACTCGAAGACAAGCCGAGCTCTAACGAGGAGCCTGATGATGAAGACGACGAGTTGGATGTACCGGAGGACCCTCCAGCGTCTCCACCACAAGTGGCAAGCAACAAAAATTCAACCACAACGCTGAAGTTGCGCACCAATTCCACAAAAGATGGTCCCGAATTTGTCCGACACTTCTTCGCCAAGTCCAGACTGCACCACATTGGCACGTGGAGAGCTACATTCCAACAGAAAGCAGCCGAATTCCAAGCCAAATACAAAGGTGCACCTATAAACAGAGCCCCAGTGTCGTCGAGTGATCGGGTGATCCTCCACGTAGATATGGACTGCTTCTTCGTAGCGGTAGCAGTGCGAGACAAGCCAGAGTTACACAAAGTTCCCGTTGCTGTCGCGCATTCGGGCAACGCTGGGTCGTCCGAGATCTCGTCGTGCAATTATTTAGCACGAGCTAAAGGTGTGGGGGCAGGGATGTTCATGCAGACTGCGAAGGAACTGTGTCCCGAATTAATTGTCCTACCCTACCAATTTGACGACATTCAACGCGTATCGTTCCAGATTTACGACATCTTCTTCTTACACACTCTGTACGTACAAGCAGTGAGCTGTGACGAAGCATTTCTAGAGTTTGGACGAGGAACGAACGGTATGGAGAAGGCCAAAGCCATTCGAAACGAGATTTTCGAACATACTGGATGCTCTGCCAGCGTGGGTGTATCATTTAATGTCCTACTAGCCAAGCTGTCGTCCAAGAAGGCAAAACCCGATGGAATATTCGAAATTTCTAACGTAAGTCAAGCGGAAGAGTTCGTGCTGCAACTTACGATCCGTGACTTACCTGGAGCTGGACACATGACAAGTGCGAAGCTCGAAGCATTGGGCGTTGAAAATGTACGACAGTTAGTTTCAATGACTAAAGGAGAACTTATACAATCACTCGGTAAAGCGTCGGGAGAAATGCTGTATAATTACGCTCGAGGGATCGACATACGTCCGCTGTCTATGGAGTCCAATATGATGCGGAAAAGTGTGTCTGCAGTGGTGAATTTCGGCATTCGATTCGAAAAATGGGAAGACGCGACTGTATTTTTGATGGCGCTAGGCCAAGAACTGAGTCAGCGTCTGCGGAATTTAAATGTGCGAGCGAAATGTTTGACGCTGTTGATTAAGAAACGCGCGGGAGGTGCTCCTGTTGAGCCTGCGAAGTTTATGGGTCATGGTGTATGTGATAATTTCTCAAAGAGTCAAATTCTAGCTCAACCGACAGACGATGAAGTCGTGATTGGTAAAGCGTGTATTGAACTTCTTCAACAATTTAATTTTCCCAGTGAAGAACTGCGAGGAGTTGGCGTACAAGCTACGAAGTTGATCTCTGATGCACCCGGTAACCAAAGAAGTGGACAGCTTTTTAAAGCGTGGCTGAAAGATACTACAGGGAATGCAAAAAACCAAGAAGAATGCGAAGCAAAAGCCGAGGATCCTATAACTGAGACGAGTACGAATGCGTTCGCTGCTACAAGTTTTTCGCAGATTAATATCGGGGTGCTGGGAGAGTTACCCAAGCAGCTACAGCAAGAGATATTAGCTTCGTATGGTCGGGGTGCGTCGGCTACTACTACTCAGACAAACTATCAGCCTCCACTGAGACGTAAAACCAATGGGAAGGCACCACTACGACGCAAGCATCCGGCAAGGAATATTTTTGATTCCAAGTCGAATAGCAGACTTGCACGTAATGTTCATTTGTTGGGTACTGGAGATTCTGGAAAGGAGGACGCACTGGATGATATTCGAATGTCCCAAGTGGACTCGGAAGTGTACCATTCGCTGCCTTTGACGATTCGAAGAGAAATCGATCGATACGCGAAGAAACGCAGACCTACATCAACTGTTGCTCCCATCCCGAGACCCAGAGCTTCATCGATTAGTAGCCCCGAGCAACCGGTGAAGAAGAAGTTGACACCTGTTGTGCTACCGAGGATTGAAGATTTATATGCAGATCTGGTTGAGAGTCTTCATGACGAGTACCCTACAACTGGCACACGAGCACAAACGGCTGCGTTCGATCCAATCTACTCACGTATTTTGGTCGAGGTGGAGGATCGAGCGCTGGATCAGGCCTTGCGTATGCTCCGCTTCGTTCGTCGAAAATGTTCCAGTGTAGCCACCCCGACGGAGCTTGCTGAACAATTGAAGCGCGGATTCAACCATGTTCTTAACCTCGTGAATCAAGATATTCGACGACAGTTCAACGGAGCATTGTCATTGCGGTTAGTGACCCCGCTATAACAGAAACCGTCTGAAATCTGTAAGTACTTTAGATTATTGCTTTTGTCTTCTTCTAAATACAGAAGTACTATAGTACCAATCTGGAAGTGTTCAAAAGAATAAGTTGAGTTGGGAATAAGTTGCTGTCCTCTTAATTATTTTTTTGGTTTTGGTCGATCAAACAAATAACTCTCATTCCCCAACACTCCTTCGTCAGTGCAGTTCATCCTTTGGACAGAAATCGATATGGCCACCTCAGCCCAACAAGACACCCGGGCTGTTCTGGACGCTTTCCCAAATTCAAGAGTTGTAAGTCCATGGTTCGAGCTTGAGGAAACCAGTGGAAAAAAAACGTGCTAAGATACCTGGTACAGGTGGAAGTTTATCCTCGGTGGCCATAGCCTTGGTGCCCGCGCAGCAAGAGTTCAAGACCTACTGATACCCTTTGTTCAAGATCGGTGAAATCAGCAGCAAGTGGTCAGATGGAACACCCATTGAATATCGCCACGCCAAAGTCGAAGTTGGAGATGTTCTCGACTACTACACACCAAGCGATAGCGTTCCGAAATGGAAATCTTTCCGGTTGAAGTATCGTCCAAACCGAGTGCGCCACTTCATTAATGAAAACGGGATCGCCAATTTGGAGACAAGCAGCTTAACAATGCAAAATGAAAGCCATACCTGTTAAGGATGCTACACTGCCGCCATCGACGTGATAGCGCATAAACTTTATTTTTCTTTCGCATTTATTCCTACTTAACGAATCCATCTTTCTCAGATTCGTTTGCTAATATTGTGTGGAGCTTATAGAGCGCATCAGACGCCGTCGGTCGTGTTGTTGGATCAAGAGATACACAGGCATTCCCCAGCTCCACCACAGCTTTAATAGTTTCTTTCGAGAACTTAACATGTAGCTTCCCAGTCGCTACCATCTGCAGAATAGCTGGCTCTGGCATCTGTCGACTCGAATCATTGGGGTCTTTGACATGCCAGTAAGGCGACAAGTGCGTATCCAACTCCGACAACACGACTCCAAAGGAAAACATGTCGGCCTTGTCATCATACCTGTCTCCTATCATCACCTCTGGAGCCATCCACAAGCACGTTCCAACTCCACCAGTCATCGACTCGTTCACTCGCTCTCGAGACGTACCGAAGTCCGTGAGTTTAGCGTCTAATTTCTCATTAAGCAAGACGTTCTTGGACTTGAGATCTCGATGAATTATCGGAGGATCCAGTGAGTGCATGTACGTTAAAGCATGAGCGATATGCAGAGCGATCTTGAGTTTTCCCCTGTTGAAACCCATAGGATGATTCTGCTCTTCGTAGTCACTCAATAAGGCCTTCAAGTCCCCTCCAGCCATAAATTCCGATACCACACACATATTTGTCAAAGAATCCCACGCTACACCGATAAATTCCACAATATGAGGATGTTCCATGGCCGCCATCATCTTGACTTCGGCTAATAAGTCGACAACGTGGGAAATGCTACGTCGAGTTTCAGGTAACAACATTTTTACAGCAACACGTCGACCATTATAAAGTCCAGAGTACACAACACCGAAACCCCCACGACTAAGCAATTGAACAACAACGACCTTATCACGAGGGATACGGGCTGCCACAACGAAATCGTCTTCCCATGGACGATTCATTGTCGTTCCTGGAAGCGTCGAACACGCACTGGATACAAAGGTGCGACCTGAAATTTGATAACTGGAGCCGAAGCTGGAGAGCGCAGGAGCAAAAGATCGTGTGGTTTTCTCTTGGAAAATCGAGCACGTGCTGCTGCTTGGGAGGAAGGTACGCCCGCTTACTGGTTTGGACATGAAGACTGAATCATCCTCCAGCATCGCGACGCTGTCGTTCTCGGTGTTTCGTGGTAGCAACGTTCGCTTAGTTGATCTCCATTTCCACGTTACAACGCCAATAGCACCGAGAATTAATACCGCAGCGACGATAACAGCAACAAATGTGACTTTGTGGCCATTCTGGACACTGACTGTCGTACTTTGAGGCATTACAGAGGCGTCTGAAGACGATGAATTAGTGATCTCGTCGGGGATTGAGCTGCTATTGGTGTTGATGTAGAACTTGCTGGCCTGGTAACATTTGTGTGACGCCACCTGTGTCTTGTTGGGTAAAGCTACAGATGCCGGTTGTATACTGCAATTGGTAGCAGGGAAGAACTGAACATTGATCGATTCGTTGTCGATTATAGTGGCGATACTTGATGCGTTTAGTGCCAACGAAATGGACGAGATCGCGTAGGGTACGCAGTGAGCCAAGTCTTGTAGTGCGTGGGTCTGTGTGTACGTCTCGCTGCTGCAATTAGGCTGTCGAAACTGGTCGATGACGATGTGTCTTGTACCTGAGAACGCCACTGTTATATACGTGTGAGTGTCTGTGTCGATGTCCATACAAGTAGTGTTGTAATAGTACATATTGGCTCCGAACTCAATATGGGTACAGGGCTGCGGTGTACAGGTCGCCGAGGAATTAGTGACCTGCATACTTAATGGCGACGAGCACAAGTTGTCCTTGTAGAACGCTATCGCCTTGGACACCGCTGCGAAACTCGAGTTAAATAACAGAGAGACGAGCACAAGGGACCGCAGCAGAGCCATGACCGTTCGAGAATGAACAAGCTGCGTGGATTCTCGCAATTACCACCGACTCGAAGCGGTAGAACCCGACAGACAGAGCTCTGCTCACCCAGTGTCTGACGTCCAGATCGATAAGGACCTGGATAGAATCGCATAGTGGCATGAACCCACACGTCGTTTATGCTGGGGCAATCAGAGCGCGTCGTTCTCGCCTTCATTTGGCATACCGGATTGCTGCGCATCGTGGCATTGTCGGAGATGCTTCTCAAAGGCGTCGAGCGGGAGCATGGCGATGCGTTGGCCACGTTTCCGGTCGCGGTTGAGTTCCATGCAGCGCTCTCTGGCTTCGTCGTACGTGCAGGTGACCACTTCACCCTGTTTAAACGTTTCGTTAATGCGTTATGACATTTAAACAGAAGATAAAAGTATTCTTACCTGTTGTTTGAGCTGTTGGCGATGCCGAAAGTCCGTGTGGCTAGTGTAGAAGACGTACTCGCGCTGTATGAGCGTCGAGGTGTGTTTGTCAGCAGTAGAATCGTTGCTTTTCTTCTGCTGTTGTCGTCGTTTGGCTTCGACTGCTTCAGCCTTGGAGACGCCGCCGTATTGCCCCAGTTTAGCCACTCGCCCGCGCTGCTGAAACTGTTCCTGGATGGATACCATCCCTCTAAAAGCACGTAATAATGCGTCGTGCACTTGCCGTCCAGCCTCTTCCGGCTCTAACAACACCAGCGCAGACGCCACAGCCTCCAGCGTCGACAGACAGCCCTCCATCGGTTCCCTGTAGCATGATAGTTAGCTCAGATCATCCTTCTAACACCGACAATACTCCTCACCGCCTCAAGTCGCCGTAGATGCTCCGTTTAAGCTCGCCATCTAGGCAAATGTACTGCAGAGTGCCACCCCTTGACTCCCAGTCCTTTGCAGCCTTCTCCCAGTGCTTCTTGTTCCTGTGCGCGATCTTCTTAGCTTCCTTCCATGTTCCGTCGATGACGATAACCAGCATGCGCTTTGCATTCCTCGTCCCTCCTCCCCCAGTCAAAGGTTGTGCATGCTCATCGGGGAATAATACCATCGCTGTATCAAACCTGTGGTCTCCTCCTTCATCGTACAACAAGGCATCAAGCAGCTCGTCCTTGCCCGGACCGCAGTCGCACGTTTCGTCGACTGTAACGAGCGTCACGTTCTCAAGCGTTTGAGCCAAAACCGGCACAGACGAGATCGCCGCGCGTCGTCGCTTCTCATGGCGATGCTGCAGTACCAACACGTGCGTTGACCGGGTAACAAGCGGCTCGTCAGGCAGCGACGAGCAGTAGCAAACGCGCAGTGGACGCTTACACCTGTCACAAATGTCTCGACGTGTGTCCTCCATCCAAAATCTGACAATGAGGATGGACACATAAAAGTGTCCACAAAGACAAAACTGAACTCGATAGATGGACAGACTTAAACAGTTATTGAATGGTTCAGGAAGAGAAGGACGTTCCCATAGGATTAATTAAGCTCCTGTTTAAGCGGTGGGCTGGTACACCGGGTCCACGGGGGCGGGGGCGGCAGCGGCCGGCACCACGGGGGCCGTGGGCTCAACGTACGGGCGGTGCACCTCCTCCTTGGGCTCGAGGATGGTAACAACGTCGTCCAGAGCGCGCTTGGGGCCCTGCTTGCCCGTGGGGTCGTGCGGCAGCATGATAGACACCTTGACACCGAGCACACCCTGGCGCATCAGCACGTGACGCACAGCCGTGTCCACGTACTCCTGCGAGGCGTTACCGGTCTTGACCATGTAGCCCTCGTTGAACTTCATGGCCTTGGCACGCTGGGCACGCAGCTTACCCGACACAATGACCTGCACACCCTTGGCGCCGGCCTCCATGACGAAACGCACAACCGAGTAGCAGGCACGACGCACGGCAAGACCGCCAAGGAGACGGTACTTGAGCGACTCGGCCTGGGCCTGCGAGCACAGGCCACGGTTGGCCACGCGCTCGGCGTAGAGCTCGACGGCTCCGTCCGGGAAGTTGAAACGCTTCTGCACGACGGACGTCAGGGCGCGGATGCGCTGGCCCTTCTCGCCCAGCACCTCCTGGGTGCGCGTGGCACGGATGATGATCTCAGTGCGCATGGGGGTCACACGCACCTCGACTCCCGAGTAGCCATCGCCGTACAGCTCACGCTGGAGCAGCTCGTTCAGCTCGGCGTAGAACACACCGTCGGCCACGAACTTGCGCTTCTTGGAGATGTTGGCAGCCATTCTTGTCGTCTTCTCTTGGAGATTCCTGAGTGAGGAGGTCCAGCAAGGCGACAACAAGCTACGGCTCGTCAGCCAATGGTTCAGGACGGACTTTTGTGTGCGAAACATGAAAGTGATGTGATTTAAACATAAAATGGAATTATTTTCTGTCATGAAGGCGTTATGTACTGACATCTCCAAAATATGCACTTCGGCGTTATTATCTGTCATACAGTTGTTGTTTCAGAACTCTTGTCATTAATGGAGAGGCTAGATGACGCTGCGATGACGACTCCTGTAGCGAGCGACTTGGGCACCAAGAGGCAGCGCATCGAGCGTCTGATTGAACGAGGGGATCATCTCGCCAATGTTCAGCAAGAACAGCAGGCAGAAACGATCTCCAAGCCGCATACGATCTCGTCGCGCATCTCGCCTTCAACTTGCACGACTAAGGCGGTATTCCCTGCACGACGCTCATCCTGGACAGCGCAGGAGGATAATAAACTAAAAAACTTAGTGCTTCAATTAGGCAACCGTAACTGGAGTGAAATCGCAGTACACTTTCCTTCCCGAGACCGCAAACGATGTCGCGATAGATATGTAAACCACCTATCTCCGTCGCTGACCTCAGCGTCGAATACATGGAGCGCAGAAGATGACGTGAAGCTACTGCAATTACACCTGACACTGGGATGTAAGTGGGCGACGATAGCAAAAGAGTTCAATGGAAAAAGTGCTGAAAGCGTCAAGAATCGCTGCCTATTGCTGGCCAGGAAGACATTGGATAAGAGTTCGAAAGGCACAAGAGCACCGCCTCAACGCTGGACAGCGACCGAAAAGAACAAGCTACGGGCGTTGGTGACGACCCACGGAGCGAGGAACTGGCTGTTCGTTGCTTCGCAACTTCCTGGACGCACAGACTTGCAGTGTCTACAGCAATGGTACCGGACGCTGGATAACAAGGTAGTGAAAGGCAAAGGAACGTGGACACCGGGTGAGGACCAAGTGCTGGTTGATAAAGTGGCCGAACTTGGACGGAAGTGGACGGAGGTGAGGAGTGAATGACCTGTTGAATCGGAAGGACGTGCTGACGGTGGATGTGCTTCAGATTGCTGCGTTCTTGCCAGGTAGAATTGGAAACCAATGTCGCGAGCGGTTCTTGAACCATTTGGACCCGTCAATCAACTTAGTGCGTGTCTTGTTTGCTTTGCTGTTGCGGGACTTTTATTCTTAATGTGCTGATAGGCGTCATGGACTGATGCTGAAGACAAGATTTTAAGTGAAACTATCGAAACACACTCGACGCAATGGAGTTTGATAGCGGAAAAGTTGCCAGGACGGTGCGAAAATGCCATTAAGAATCATTGGTACTCGCGCGAACGGCGTCGGATGCTTGCAGATGCCTCGAGTAGTAGCAGCATCGACAACTGCAAAGAGGGCTAAATTGGAGATTCATGTGTCAGGTTAAGTGTTATTCAAGTTATGAAGAAATGGAAAGCTTCCATATCGTAGCTATGGGAATACAAGCTGCAACCGCACATTCAACACTACACTCGACGTCCAGAAGCATCTGTGCTTCAGGTTCAGGTTTTAAAAGGCGATGCAGAAGAATTTTTATTGATTGAGTCCCCAGTTTTTTTCACATTTTTTTTAGCGTATTTTAGAAAAAAATAAAAAATAATTGGCAGCATTTGTGGAAATTTGTTCCACATAGAAACCTACCAGAACGTGCCGTACGGTGTTACGAAAACGTACCCTTAACCGTTCTCGAGCATACCGGTAAGGGTTTTGGCATCTTCTCGTATCATTTCGTCTTTAGCAAGAATGGTGTCCGATGCTGTTTTCCTTTCCGAAGTGGAGGCTTTCTTGGCCACCTGTGAGTTGTCGGCGACTAAATGTGATAATGAACTACAACGAAAACACTCAACTAGCAATCCTGATAGCCAGGACACCAGAACTACTGGTGGAGAGAAGCAGGAGACCAACGACCATGCCACCGGCAAGGACAAGTCATACTACAGACGCCGTAAGATGGAGCGGATAAACTTACGGCAGCAGGTGAGGGACTTGGCAGCGACATTGGAAAAACTACAGAGGACCAGTGAGATGACCAAATCCTCCATGTGGATGTCAATGGCGAAGTATCAAAAACAAGAGCGGCTCAACGCAGAGGAGAAGCAGCGACGGCTAAGCGCAGCAATCGACGCTCGAGCTGCCATGATCCAAGAATTTTTCAAGTTAGTACAGTCCCATTTCAGTGTTTTAGGTGGGATAACAGAGAAAGAGGCTCAATTGATCGAGGGTAGGGACGATTCGTCGCACTCCGGTCCATTCAAGAGAATTCGAGTCGATCCGCCGCTTGATGAAACATTGGAGCGCTATGTGAATGAACTTGATCAAACCGACAAAAGCACTAGCGGAGGTGAGTCTGAGAACGAAGTTTGGAGAGACTCCGGGCAGGATTATGATCAGAGTGACAATAACGATCCAGAAGGATCTACCGACTTTGTGGATAATGAAAATGGCAAAGACTTGATTTCCGTCATACATGCAGTGGTCTTCAGCGTGTGTTCAGCATGTTTCGCCTTACTACATGAAATAGAGCCTACGCGAATTAATAGATTACAAACTCTCTAACAACGATAGTTTTTGCGTACAGGACACACGCCCAAGGTGTAAGCAAGATGCATCAAGCAAAATATCCGAAGGGGGAAGCATTAAAGTGCCACCACTGTCCGAGCCCCATTTGTAAGTAGACTGAAGCGTCTGTGTTACTTGTACGAAGGGAGCCTATACACTGTCATACAGAATCCTTTCAATCATTTCATACCAAAAAATACAAGAAAACTAGCGAGGGCCGTAAAATTCACCCTACGTAAAATGCGCCTCGCTATTCTCTCTATCTTCCTTAACGATGCGGTCTCTTCCTTCCTGCGGAAGTTTTCTCTCCATTAAAAAAAATTAAGCTAGAAAAATAGTTCGTGCACTGCCATCCTTACTTCGAAGTACATGTACAAGAATATAGCTCTGTGCGACGGAAAACTCTGCCCATGACGACTGATGAGCTGGGCCTAAGAGGACTCACACCTAGGCTGCAGAGTCCCGCGTCTATTGATCATAAAAACGCTTCCATCATGGCAACGTAACAGGAAGTAATTGATTGCCAACGATTTTTTTTACTGGCTTGTGGCACGCGCCGTGACTCATGGCCCGTGAGCACATCCACAATCAGCTCTTGTGAAATACTTTGTCATTTCGTGCGAGCCATGATAAGTACCAAGTCCAACGAGGAATTTCTAGCGGAGGTGGAATGTTTCCTTAATACATGCGACTTCCCAGTTATCACATCAGGCCATGAGCGTGAAAACGTCAACGAGTTGAACGCAGTTTCCGTCCATGAACATGTTACGTATGCTCGATCCGATTGCTCAAGTGAAGGCCAACCGCGAAGTGATGAGGAGGAAGAGAGAGAAAAGGGCCCTAGGATATGCAGAACGTACTACGAACGACGGAAAGCAGAACGTGTGCATCTACGCCAGCAAGTTAAGGAGCTTGCATCAAAACTGGCTAAGCAAAAGAAAACCAACGCTGGCAGTGTAGTGCAAATGGCGTCATCGTGGTGGTTGGTGGCAAGGTGGCAACGAGCTGCTCGACTAAACGCTGAAGAGCAAAAGAGACGCCTTTGGGCTGCAGTCGACACTCGAGCTGCATTAATTCAAGCGCTCCAGACTACTCTGCATACCAGCCTCGGACAGCAGATAGACGTGACATCGGAATTATTCAAAAACAGCGCGGAATTGTTGGCGGATAAGAACAAACGTATCAATTTCGATTCTTCCGATGCGGAGACATTTGCGGCCTTTGTACACGAGCTGGATGTTATCTACTCCCAAACGGACAAGGCCTTACACGCTATTAGCCTCGAATCAACGTCAAAAGACTGGGATGCCCCGAGGCAGACGTGGAAAGAGGACAGCAAGACAGGATGCTACTTGTACATGAGTCACCAGACGATTTCCTCCGACTTCAAGGAAACCTGCGCGGTTCTGTGGCAGGTGGCATACATGACACACCGCCAAGAAAACCGGGAGGTCTTTTGCGCTGTCGACCCTGAGAACACCGTTGCTATCAAGTTTCGAATTACGACTCGATTGAATTCGGGCATAATCGCGTCAGTCCTTCAGCGTGTCGTCACTCGTCGATATCAAGAAGACGGACGAATGATTCTTGCTTGGAGGTCTTTCGCTGAAGGCGAAGGGATATTCACTGATATGTATGCCGATGAAACGGGGTGGTGTGCGGCTACTCCACTATCGAAGCACGAAACACTCTTGAGAATTTGTATGCGGCATGTGCCCATGCACTTCCGTGGCGTGACGACGAACAAACCTGAAGTGGACCAGTTCAAAAATTTGGTTCTTGACACGGGAAGCAATGATGTATTTGAGGTTACAACTAGGTTGGAGTCCCTGCTTCTCCAAGAAGCTTAGATATAATAAAGTCATCAAATACGTGACAGTCCCAGCATACCATTTATTGAAGACGTTGCGTTAATTTAGAGCCAATTTTTTTTAAGTCAGTTGTCAAGGTGATTGGGCAGAAATCTTGAAGTCATCCGTGTCAAAATTATAATAAGGCCTTTCCGCACAGGACCGAGATGTTGAGCTTCAGGGTCACTTATTAACGTGTGGAGCACTTCTTACAAACTCATGCTGCCGTCGGACGATTCCATCCTCTCCGAAGTCAATGACTTCCTCACATCGATCGAGTTGTCATCCCTCGAATCATCTCACGTCGTTGCTGAAAAAGTCACGGCAACAAGACTCGACACCTCTGGGTTGCATCCCACAGAGTCTCGCAGATTCGATGAAAATCGAACGATACAATTTCGTGATGAGTAAATTCGAAGTAGTATTCTTGTGATCCTGTCTCCAAGCCGCTCGGGAAATCCAACGCTTCTCTAGATTGGTAAACACTGAGTCTGTTTGAGCGTTAGATTGTGTCGAGGTTTGCACTGTAAATCTTGAGAAATTCTTGATCGAAAGGTTCAATTCGTATCTCTTTGAAGTCGCTGTGTAGGGTAGCCTCATTTGTGTCGTTGCATCTACCGATCAACCCATGGTATTACTGAACCAAGGAGATCTGCGCTGAAATAGCTGTTGACAAGCAAAATCTATGCTGCTCTACTACCAACCGCGCTTCCAGTTGCCGTTTGGCTACCATTCTCCACCCAGAACAGGTTAACCGCCTTGCACGTTCCAGTACCAGCTTCATCGTGAGCTGTTGCACCTCTTGCTCCAGTCTCTCACGCTCAGAGCGCTGTCGTTGGCAGTACATCTTGTGACGGTATCGACTATCACTACGGTTGGTGGCAGGCAGTTGCACTTAGCTTACCTCGCCGTAACGAGGGCCGAAGGCTCTACGGTGAAGGGGGTAACTCTCAGGACACTGTGGCGCTGAAGTTTCGCCTCACTAACTCAGCCATAGCTGGTTCAGCGCTGCAGTATGTTCTTATCCGTCGGTATAGTGAACAAGACCGCATGGTATTGACGTGGAGAATATTTACTGAGGGTGAGGGGAATTCGCTGGTCTATACGCGGATGAGGTTGGATGGGGTGTACAGTCACACCTCCCTAAGTGACGGCAGTTTGGGGTCTGAAAATTGGCCGTATCAGTTATAGAATCCGTCACTTAAGGAAATGGCTACATTATAATGGCTACATTTATTCTGCTTGTTGGAAGAAGCTGTGTAGTGATGTCTGTCGCCTTCGTTGTACGACTTGAGATCTTGTGAGTTTTGTCAACGTCTGCACCATATCCTGCTCCCGCTTTGTGTCACGTTGGCAATGAAAAAGAAAAGATGATAGCTCCACACAATATGCTAGTGCTGTTGATGCCGATACCGGAGGAACGTCATCTTCGTCTCCGCTGCCACCCTCGCTATTTGAGCCCTCCTCCGTCTGCACCTCTTCTGGTGGCTCGTGTACGTCAATGTCCTCGTCCACTCCCACGTACTCTGCCACGCTTTGATCTACATTCATGCTCGCCATCATTCGGGCTAAGTCTTCGTCTACATCTTGACAAGGAGGTCCCGTGTAATCTCCGGTAGATGCAACGCTCGTCATTAGAGAGCCATTCACGATCCTTGTGTGGACCCAGCAGTTCCTTATGCATTCAGTAGTTACATCACTCCAACTCTCCAGACTAAATTGAATGGCCTCGAGGACGTTTAGTTTCCGCTTGATGCCCCCCTCTAGTGCGTCTAAACACCAGCGTACGAATCGCCGATGATATCTACTCTTGAACGAGCGGATAATTCCTACAAATTAAAAGAAACAAATCAGAAAATATGTTAGAATTCCATAAATATTTAACTTACCAGCGTCCAGTGGTTGTGCAGATGAGGTCATGTCGGGAGGTAAAAATTTAACTTGTACATGAGAAAGAGGTCGTAGCACTTTATGGCTGGATGCGTTGCCCACAAGTAAAAGCACGTTGCGGTTCTGGGCAGCCATCTTCAAGTTAAAATCATCTAGCCACTCCTGAAACAGCAATGCAGTCATCCAGGCCCTCTTGTTGTGATAGTACACAACTGGCTTATCCTTAAGCGCAGCGTGAGCTCCACCTCGAAAGCATCGCGGATTGGCAGCTGTCCCGATCACGACGGGTTCAGTTTGTGACCTCCAGTCGAATTACGACACAAAGCGATTGTAATTCGCGCTTTATCACGTTTTTTTTTCTTTCTTCTTCATGGTAGCTAACGTTTGGTTGGGAGCCAAGCGATAGAAAAGTGCACTCTCGTCGAAATTGTAAATATCTTCTGGCTTGTACTGGTTTGTAATTTCCTGTAATAAGTAGCGTGCCGAACGTGCTTGCACCGTAGTGACGGCATCAACTTCACCATGCAAGCGTTTAGACGAAATACCGTTTCGCTTCTTGAACTTAGCGAGCCACCCGTTGCTGAGTCGGAGCTAGTCATCAGTGATCTGAAGTGCCGTTTTAATGTCTCTCGCCTTCATTAGCAAAATGTCGTCCGAAATAATGGTGTTTCCCTCTTGGCGGTGGAAACATTCGAGAAGCTGTTGCTCTAGTTCAGGAAACTTGACCCGGCGGCGTCGAGTTGCGGACGTGTTTGAACTACAGAAGTATGTAGGAGGCTTGCAACGGATTCGGCGAATTGTACTAGTACTAACGGACTTCTTAAATTTAGCCTGGACCCAATCAATCACGTCCGCGTTCTGGATATTGGGAGTGCGCTGGATCTTTAACTTGACCTGCAGCTTCTCGTCCAATGTCAACGTTTGCAAGGGCGTAGTTGCCATTTTGAGGACTTGGTAGGGACTTGTTGGTTGTGCGGCACGTGTGATAATGTCAGGATTGGCTGAGACGCGTGTCCAAATAGAGAGGTTTTCTTCCCAACGTGGGTGTCATTTAGCGAATAGAGGTTTTTGTGCAGATAAAGGAGGAGCATATTGAAACCTATACAAATCGTTTTGCATAGCTTGTGCCCTATCATTTAAAGAGTGTATATTCAGTTAGGGGGGTTCAAAGAGGGAGGTGTGACTGTAGTTTCTGCTACATCGAGTAAAGGATTATCCAGCACGAAGACTGTTTTGCAGAATTGCATGCGTTATAAGCTGATGCATCTCAGTCGAACAGATGAAGCTGCCACGAAGCAGTTCACCAGGTTGATTCTGGACGCTAGAGCGTACGACGCGCTCGAGTCAGTTAAGTGACTCAAAGAACAACTTGTAGGTGACGCGGACCCCGTCATATCGCCATACTAAGTAGACAACCTGTTTCTCAACAGGATCCTTACCACATCTCGAAGCATTTGATAACTTTTTTTGCTTCTACCAAATCTAATCGTGACTTTTCTGGTCATTCAGAAGAAACTTTTCCAGGCTACCGGCTATTTCGTCACAATTGGAAGTGCTGGCTTCGACCACCATATCTGCAAAGCGCTTTGCAAGCACGGCTCCATCACTCACCACCTCGTTCATGAAATTCATCGGCATGTAACACGCGTAAAGTCTCAGTACAGAGCTCCTTTCGTCTCCACTCACCACACACCATCCAAGTTCGTCTGCATGCATTCCAGCGAAAGCTCCCTCCTCTCCCTCAGCAAAAGTTCGCCACACGACTACCATCCGATCGTCTTCTCGGTATTGCCGGTTAATGACACGAAGCAGCACAGATGCATCTTTGCCTATCTTCAGTCGGGTGCTCACTCGAAACTTGATGGCTACGATACTGCCGGGATCTTCGATTCCGTCGTAGAGCTGCTGATCCTCTCGCAGATGTACTGAGAGTGTACGCTTCAGCATACCACAAGCATGCGCGAAGTCGAACGGGAACTTACGCTTGTACGTGTGCTGGAAGTAACTGTTGTCACTCTCGTCTCTCTGCTCCTGCGTGAGTGCCCCGCAATGCTCGTCCGTCGCGTCCAAACCAGCGGCATCGAACACCGTATCGGTTTGAAAGTAGACAGCGTTGAAAGTTCGAGCAGACGTTCTGTAAAACTCGCTATCGAATGACTCGAGGCGTAGCCTGTCACAATGATAATAGTTCCTGCTGCCTCCCCGCTCCAGAGACTCGACATTAACCAGTTTGTCGTAAGTCAGACTTTGATATGCTCGAATCAGTGTAGTCTGTGCTGCAATTGCTGACCTCAACTGTCGATGCCGTGCCTCGGACGCTAAACGCGTTTCTAGTGACACAGCATTACCATTCTCCATCCAGACATCGATAACAGTCTTCTAGGTTCCGTGGCCAGTTTCTTATTGAACTCTTCTATCTCCTGCCCCAGTCGTTCCCGCTCAACCCGCCTGCGCTTCCGATAGGCCCTGTGGCGAACACATACCCCAATACTACTTTGCTCGACTCCAGATTTGGACGTCTCACTGTTAATGTTGACATCGTGTTTTGAAGGTTCGCTTAGTGGAAGTGTTAGCAGGTCGCATGAGTCAAAGAAGTCCTCCACCTCGGTCAAGAACGGAGAGTCCAGTGTCATGCTGAACTGGTGACTGAGAGTCTCAATGAGAAAGTGTCAACTACCTGTTCCAGACCAGACCATACTGCAGTACTGCACGTGATAACGCAAAACCAGATGACAGATTACACAGATTGTGCACCACACTGAATCTTACGGTGGAGATGAACTTGCAGTATCTTCATAAGCTACATTCGTCGTCAGGTTGCAATACTTCCAGGCGAAATCGATGCGTTATTCGTGACAGAATTGACTCAGAGCTCTAAGGTTGCGTGACGAATGCTACGAAAAGCGTGGCTTCCTAAGTGTAATCAACAAAGAAGAACACGCCACTATAACAACTTTGGTCAGAGTCCTACTTAGTATTATTTAAGGAGGAGCGCTTTAAGTCTACATACAATCTCTTCGGAATTCGAAGTGCTGGCATCCATCACCATGTTCGCGAATTATTTTACTATCAAATCACTCTTACCTACTTCGACGCTACTGAAGTTCATCGGCACGTATCGTGCAAAACACCGCATAATGCTGCTATTTTCCGACTCCGCCGAGGGAGCCAGAACGCCCCATCCAATTTCATCTGCGTGCATCCCAGTAAAATGCTCCTTGCCCCTCGGCAAAGACTCGCCATACCACCGCCCGGTGGTCTTCTTCGTAGCGACGGTTGATGACACGAAGCAGGACTGATGTATCTTTCCCCGTCTTCAACTGGGTGCTAACACGAAACTTGAATGCCACCGCACTATCGGCGACGTCTAGATCTTCACAGACTTCTTGTGTTTCCGGATGATGAAGCAAGAGTGTGCGCTTCAAAGTGGCACTGGCTTGTTTAAAACTAGACGAAAACTTCCGCTTGTCGACGTACTGGAAGTAGTTTTTCCCACTCGCGTGTTCTCGCTCCTCCATGATAGTCCCGCAACGATCTTCCGTCACGTCCAACCCAATACTAGTGAAAACTTCGTCGGTCTGAGCGTAAATGGTATCGAATGTCCGGAATGAAGCCGTGTAGAACGTCGAGTCAAAAAAGACTCTACGCGAAGCGACTTGAGCTGATAGGGGATACTGCCACTGCTATGTAGGTTCAGACTCTGAACCTATCGACGACAAGACCCACAAGGTCTTGGATCGACATGGTGCTCTCGTGCAACTTGCCCTTCTCTTTCTGTGAGACTAGTGCGGCTTCTAACTACGTTAAGATTGGGAGCCTTTCGACGGACAGCCTGGTGAAGTACAAGCGACTGTTAGTCCGTGAAGTCGAAACTGTAATTGCTGGTATCCTGCCTAAGTCGTTTGGTATCATTTTTGACGGGTGGACTTTCCGGTCGGAGCATTATGTCGCAGTCTTTGCGTCCTTTCGCCACGATGGCAAGATGCAGACCATTGTGATCGCTATAGCGCCAATTATTGATGATGAGATCAGCGACCACACTGCCAGCAGCAACGTCAAGATCCTGGACGTCATTCTTTCCTACTATGGCCGGAGCAAAGCCAGTATCGCTTACATTGTCGGAGATAATTGCTCCGTGAACGGTGCTGGCGCTGATCAGCTGCAGGTTCCGATGGTGGGCTGTGCCAGCCATCGTCTGAACCTAGCAGTGAACTTACTTCTCGCTGGCGACGACAAGCTACTCGATAAGATACAGAAGTTGATGTACAAGGTGAAAAATTTGCTGCTGGTGTCTGCAAAATCACGGTGAGTTTAATCTATGATTATGTGTGTTCTGAAATTTAATGTGCTTATTTTGTGCTAGTCGAAAAACACTCCTTCGACCTGTTCCTAGACAGGACACTCGCTGGTCATCTACTTTTGCTATAGTTAACAGATACTTCGAGCTGAAGGAGTTTCTTAGTGACGACGACGAGGACGAGCTAACTGGGTTTCTACCAACCCATCGAGAGGAGAAGCAGCTGAAGTCGATCCTCGCCAACCCCAAGATGTTCGAGTCAATCTCGAAGAGGCTGCAAAGTGCAGACGAGGTAACACTACTCGACGTGCGCGACCTGTTTGACGCGCTCATTGCACAGACGCCAGAAGTCGCCCACTACCTCGCTGCTGATGCAGCGATCGTCAAGAGCCCTGTTTTCGAACGAGCTTGTGTGAGTGTGCTGCTGGGTCGTGAAGGCGCGCTGAGTGACGACGACAAGGCTATGCTGGAGCCGCTGGCCGCGGGAGCAGCCCCACTGTCGAGTTCTTCGGAGACAACGTCGCTCGATGAAGGTTTCGCCACTGTTACGCTCGAGCGTGCGAGACGGCTTCGTCAAGCTACTTCACGCTTTAACGATCAGATAGCTGTGATCACTCCGACTTCGAACGTCGTCGAGAGATTCTTTAGTCAAGCGAAGGCAGTAGTTGG